TTTCAGTCTAGTTCTATAGGCTACACAATCATGGGGAAGACTGCTGACTTGACAGTTGTCCAAAAGACGACCATCGACACCTTGCACAAGGAGGGCAAGACACAAAAGGTCATCGCTAAAGAGGCTGGCTGTTCACAGAGCTCAGTGTCCAAGCACATTAATAGAGAGGCGAAGGGAAGGAAAAGATGTGGTCGAAAAAAGTGTACAAGCAAGAGAGATAACCGCACCCTGGAGAGGATTGTGAAACAAAACCCATTCAAAAATGTGGGGGAGATTCACAAAGAGTGGACTGCAGCTGGAGTGAGTGCTTCAAGAACCACCACACACAGACGTATGAAAGACATGGGTTTCTGCTGTCGCATTCCTTGTGTCAAGCCACTCTTGAACCACAGACAGCGTCAGAAGCGTCTTGCCTGGGCTAAAGAGAAACAGGACTGGACTGCTGGTGAGTGGTCCAAAGTCATGTTCTCTGATGAAAGTAAATTTTGCATTTCCTTTGGAAATCAAGGTCCCAGAGTCTGGAGGAAAAGAAGAGAGGCACTTCATCCACGTTGCTTGAAGTCCAGTGTAAAGTTTCCACAGTCAGTGATGGTTTGGGGTGCCATGTCATCTGCTGGTGTTGGTCCATTGTGTTTTCTGAGGTCCAGGGTCAACCAGCCACATACCAGGAAGTTTTAGAGCACTTCATGCTTCCTGCAGCTGACCAACTTTTTGGAGATGCAGATTTCATTTTCCAACAGGACTTGGCACCTGCACACAGTGCCAAAGCTACCAGTACCTGGTTGAAGGACCATGGTATCCCTGTTCTTAATTGGCCAGCAAACTCTCCTGACCTTAACCCCATAGAAAATCTATGGGGTATTGTGAAGAAGAAGATGCAATACACCAGACCCAACAATTCAGAAGAGCTAAAAGCCACTATTAGAGCAACCTGGGCTATCATAACACCTGAGCAGTGCCACAGACTGATCGACTCCATGCCACGCCGCATTGCTGCAGTAATACAGGCCAAAGGAGGCCCAACTAAATACTGAGTGCTGTACATGCTCATACTTTTCATGTTCATACTTTTCAGTTGGCCAACATTTCTATAAATCCTTTGTTTTTATTGGTCTTCAGTAATATTCTAATTTTCTGATATGATGAATTTGAGATTTTCTTTTGTTGTCATTTGTAATCATCAAAATTAAACAAAATAAACATCTGAAATATATGAGTTTGTATGTAATGTATGAATATAATATACAAGTTTCACTTTTTAAATGGAATTACTGAAATCAATCTACTTTTTCATGATATTCTAATTTTATGACCAGCACCTGTATTACTCCTGCACACAGGCATTTTCTTCTGTGTAAAAACATCTGGCAAGTCACAATAGAGGTCACTTTCCAAGCCAGCAACTTCCAGACCAGATACAATGCAGCTTCCTACAAGCTTTTCCTGGCCCATAGTGCATAGAAGAATTTTAGTTCCTCTTCCAGAAACATTTAACTTGTTCATCAGACTTCATGTGCAAAATGAACCAGAACTGCCTTGGTCCAAAAAGGCATGTGTTTCTACAATTTTTTGGCCCTTTTTAGATTTGACCTTGACTGGCACAATGGAGAGTTTGCAGTCGTGGTCACCGGCCCCAGTAAGACCTCTACTTTGCACTGCCACCAGAGAACCACCCACTGCTGCGTCTTGGTTTGGCACACCTTCATGACCTTCAACTTGATCCTTATTCTTTGGATGAATATGAAGCATGCTAGAGTGTTTAGCTCCACATGTTTTACATTTCAGTCTGCTCTTGCAGTCTTTACGTATGTGCCCTATGCACAGACAACCAAAGCAGACTCCATGCTCTCTGAGAAAAGTGATTTTCTCTTTATGTGTTCTTTTTTCCAATAGAGATCACAACTCCAATGCATGTTCACTCTTGCAGTAAAGGCAGGTCTTTTTGTCAGTTTGGACTCTCTCTTTTTTTATTTGACTCTTTCCATCAATCGCTGCTACTGTAGTGGTAAAACTACTTTTTTGTTTTCGTGTTTGACATTGGTAGTTATCTTTGCTACCATGTCTTTGCATGATCTTTACAGTGTCCTGTATGTTGCCAAATACAGGGTCTGTAACAATCTTTACCTGACATTCAATGAAGTTCACAATGTCAGAAAAATTAGCTCTCCGCTGACTGGTTTCTTGAATATCATAAACTACTGACCTCCATTTGTCTCTTAGCTTGTATGGCAACTTCTTGATCACCATCAGGATGAAGGCATGTTAAGCTCAGACATGTACTCTATGCCATCCATTGCATTACAACATCCTCTTAAAATGAGACCATATGCTTGAAGAGATTTAACATCCTCTGCTTTAATCATAGGCCAAGAGAACGCTTTGTCCAAATATGCAGATGCAATCTTTTGTTCATTCCCAAAATGTTGTTCCAACAATGCCTTTGCCTTCTGATATCCTCTTTCTGAAGGCATTTGTTGACAGCTTCGCACAAGCTCTCGTGGTTCTCCCCTTGTGTACTGAGCCAGAAAGTGCAAACAGTCTTCACTGTCTTCTGTTCGCCTTTCTATATTGTGCTCAAAGGCTCTCATAAAAGCTTGATAGTGAATTGGATCTCCATCAAACACCTGGATATCTCGTTTTGGCAAGTGAGAAATATTATGTTGTTGTGTGAGTAAAGCAGAGATTTAATTTTGCCTTGCCGTTATAGATAGCAAATTGTTACCATCAACATTGACTAGCAGCTGGGTGTGTGAAGTGACACTTAACTGAGAATTTAAAATGTTATTTGACACATTAGGTCCCATCAGGTGCCCAGATTCACTCTGCTGGGGTATTTGAGGTCCGACATCAGGATTAAGTTTTCTTCTACTTGACTTTGTCAGATGAGGCTTGAGTGTGGTATGAACGTCATACCCTCCTTGGCCACAAGACACAAATGAATTAGCTTCAACATTAGGAGCAGCACAAGCCCCTTTGCCCACATAGGATTCTATGCCACTTAATGTTATACTTTTGCCGCCTTTCACACTGCGTCCTGAGACTCTTAGAACCTCCATCTTAGCTTGAGCAGCAGCTTTTTTCATCTCAAGCGCAAATCTTTCTTTCTTTTTCTTGATTTCCTCTTCTTGGTGATCCAGCTCTTGCTTTTGTTTGAGTAATTTCTGTCTAGTAAGAAGAACAGCTATTTCAGCTTCTGCTTTGATGTGAGAAGATGAAACAGAAGAGGTTGAAGTTCTTGAGGTTCCACTTTTTGATCATTGTTTTCTGCTTTCAACATTTGAGATGCTGTCATTTGGTTGACTTTCATCCTGTTGCATGATGTCCATTCTTTCAGGAAAACCTTCCTGTCCTGTGTCTCGGGACATTTTAGCATCAAGCTGAGCTAGTGTAGTGAAAAACATGGTGGATCTTCACATTCTTTGTTTTTTTACCAACCACAGAATCATTTGTTGAATGGCTTAAGGATGGTGCATTTGTTTCAGAGATCCATTGTTTTACATCCTCAATAAATCCCTTGTTATATTTATTGATACTTTCAAACCACACCTTGTGCTTGTCCTTTTCCTCCTAAAGAATTATTTCCATCAGTGACTCATGCAGAGGAATTGTCTCCTCATGCAAGTGCACCAACTTGTCCAACTGAGTTTCCACCTGAGAAACATCATCATTCCTCTCTATGAGCTCCTTTAAAGCAGTGATGAGGCCTTTTGTTTTATTCCCTTTTGCTTGGTGTTCTTTCTGCAGTGTTTCAATTTGCCATATCAAGGCCTTTTCAGTAGGAAAGGTTTTCCTTTTAACAACTTCATTGCAATGAGTGTCATTTACTTGTGAACCAGCCTTTGATCCACTCATATTGATGCCCAACAAATAATGCAACACAGAATTTCAGAAAGCAGGTTTCACAGTCCACAAGTCAAACAGGGTTGCGTTTTTTTGGCATAAATCTTCATCCATACATGAACAATCCAATATTGCATGTCCACACTTTGATTCAGGCTTAAGCATCAGCAGTAACAGCATCAAACATCCAAATCCAACTTCTCTTTGATATGCACAAATGAGTGATCCACAGTTTCGACAAGTTAATTCAGTCTTGAGTAATATGGCTGAATGATATAACCAAGAGCCACAGCATCTATGCATCCAAATGTGCAATGGTAAGCAGCATCAACTGTGTCTAAAACAGATATGATCTTCAGAGTATGAATAAACTGAATCCAACATACCACAGGTTGTGCTGTGCTCCGTCTTCCCATTCACATTTACTCACAGTTTGCGTCCAAAATGGCCGAGTGGTCCATTGTCTTACGTGCACAGTTCAATCAAAGTGTTGGATCTTTTGCCTTTCTGTTGACAATGTAGGCAACTATTATCCAAAAATTAGTCACTGAGAGGAGAGCGGGGATCTGTTCAATGCGCTGAATCCAAGGAGGAAACATAAAGCTTTAAGGCAGTTAGGGATGTTTATTGTACCATTTTTCTGTGAAGCATTGTATTACAGATAGATTTGCAGACTTATTTAGCTTTACACTTGCAGTCAACAGAAATATTGGCACCCTGCCTTAGCCTCTCTCTGAATCAAACAAACAAACAGCCCCAGAGCAGATCCACGTGATATTACTTAGACAATCACTCAGCTCCAGACACATGCTAACACCCACTTATAGCTCCCAACACACATGCCCATACATACCTTTAACACATGCACCCTACCCTTAGAGACATGACAAAAATGCATCCTTGCCTCTACAGTTAAGAATCTGCAGGTAATCAGATTGTAAAGCTTTGATGATAAAAGTAGAGGTCCTAACCTTACCAGATGGTGGAGCATAAACCAGTCTGTCGTAACCTGTGACTGTAACGTCAGAGCTGCAGTGTATACTGGGAGATGTAGTTCCAGTGTGTTTGTATGTAGTTAGATTAACAAAAGGATGATTAAAGTGAAGTGTCCTTTATTTAACCTACAATAGAAAGTCTTTCTGCTGTGTTTGTCTTTCCAGATCGCCTGCAGGATTATGTTGGTAAAGAGGAGGTTTTCTCTGACCAGCAGCTCTGTGGACAGGAGAGGAAATCCAGTTTGGACCAAGAGGAACCAGAAGCTCTGCAGATAAAAGAAGAGCAGAAAGAACCAAAACATCCCTGGACAAAAGAGGAAACCATGCAGCTCCCCATTAGTGAGCATGAAGGGCAGCTTGTTCTGAAGCAAGAGACTGAAGTTACAGAAGATAAACTTTTACCATGTTTGACATCTGCAGAACAGTTCATGGTTCACATAAGAACTCACACAGGTCAGAAGATATATGAATGTCTCTCCTGTGGAAAAAAATCCCCAAAGAAATCTAGAATTGATGGGAACATTAGAATTCACACAGGTGAGAAACCTTTTTCCTGTGCAATTTGTGACAAGAATTTCACTGAAAAAACTAGTTTGACTACTCAAATTAGAAGTGACACAGGTGAGAAGCCTTTTGAATGTCTATACTGTGGAAAAAGATTCACCTCTAAATATAATCTTAATAATCACATCAGAATTCACACCAGTGAGAAGTCTCTTTCCTGCACCATTTGTTGCAAGAATTTTACTCGAAAGAGTAGTCTGACTTCTCACATGAGAATTCACACTGGTGAGAAGCCTTTTTTCCTGTACCAATTGTAACAAGAATTTTACTCAAAAGAGTTGTTTGACTTCTCACATGAGAATTCACACTGGTGAGAAGCCTTTTTACTGCACCATTTGTTTCATAAGTTTTACCAAAAAGAGTAGTTTGGCTTCTCACATACGAATTCACACAGGTGAGAAGCCTTTTCCGTGTAAAATTTGTCACAAGAATTTTACCTTAAAAAGTAGTTTGACTAAACACATTAGAATTCACACTGGTGAGAAGCCTTTTTCCTGTAACATTTGCAACAAGAATTTTACTCAAAATAGTACATTGACTTCTCACATGAGAATTCACGCAGGTGAAAAGCCTTTTGAATGTGTATCCTGTGGAAAAAGCTTCACATACAAGTCTGAGCTGAATACACATGTCAGAATTCACACAGGTGAGAAACCTTTTTCCTGTTCAATGTGTAACAAGAATTTTAATCGAAAGACTAATTTGACTAAACACATGAGAATTCACACGGGTGAGAAGCCTTTTTCCTGCGCCATTTGTAACAGGAATTTTACTCAGAAGGGTACTTTGACTTCTCACATAAGAATTCACACTGGTGAGAAGCCTTTTTCCTGCACGGTTTGTGGCAAAACCTTTACTCTAAAATGTCTTTTGACTAGACACATCAGAATTCACACAGGTGAGAAGCTGTTCTCCTGAATGATTTTTGACAAAGGTTTTAAAAGAGAAGGCAATTTGAATTAAAACCATTTGTTTCACAGAGGTTGCAGCAATTAGAAGCCACGGGAATGAACAGTAGAGGCGTTTTCCATGTTTGACTGGTGATAAAACTCCTTCACCTCATCACATCAGAAACTCAAGGGTTAATGGTTTTTGTGAGCAAAGTTTTGAGAAAGCCATTAATTAATAGCTCTGTCACATAGAAACTAGAAAAGATAACGTGTTATATTGTAAACCTGGTAAATATTCAGCTCCTGGGTGAATATGTGGATGTGAACATTTGTAAATTTATTATTTAGGGCCTGAGTAAATTTCATTTAGATGGCAAAAAACATTGCCCTAAAAAATATATTTTATATTCAAAATTTCTTATTATTTTCTTCAATGAAGGGAACAAACAAAGTGCAAAGACAACATCTTGGTTACAGATAAAGCAATTGAGAAGTTATAGATGCTGAATTTTTATTTTTTTATAACATCGAATTTTAAACACTGAATTTTAAACACTAAATTTTTTTTACACATTAAATTCCTTACAATTAATTTTTATCTAGAAAAAATTTGCCTGCAAAAAATTTGTCTGCAAAAAATTCAGCTGCTAAAAATTGGACTGGAAATGTGTTGACCTTTTGGTGAACTCAAATCAAAGCAATCAACACTCGATGCAGTCGAGCTGCTTCTAGCCATTGAAATTAGCTCATTTGGTCACGTGACCCAACAGTTGGGCATAGCTTTGTTCCTGGCTGAATGAAGCTGAATGAGGAGATTTTCTTGGTAAATAGATATAATTACAAAACGTCAGGTAGCTACTAATGAGACAGCATTACAGTTTTTCATCTAATCGGACTGGGTGAGATAACTGAGCCGATCACAGCTAGTGCAGCACCCCTGTCTGCTCTTGGTTTGATCCGGAAGAAACGGCAGGCAGCAAAGTTTTTTTTTTTCTGACCAAATTACCTAATTTCATTAGCTAAAAGCTCCTCGACTGCATCGAGTGTAGATTGCTTTGGCCTGAGTTCACCAAAAGGTCAACACATTTGCAGTTTCATTTTTTACAGGCTAATTTTTTCACAACTGAATTTTTTGCAGCTGAATTTATTTGCAGGATAATTTTTACCAGGAAAAAAAATTCAGTGTAGGGAATTCTATGTTAGAAAATTCAGTGTTCATTCAGCTGGACCCGACTGGGCATTCAAACTGAGCCATCAGCTCCGGGGCTAGTCCGAACCCAATCTGGTGATGGTATGCTTCCCCCCTGCCTGATGGGACCACCGTTGTACAGGTTACCGTCACCAGGTCGGGTTTTGCTCGCTTCATCCACCACTGGCTTCTTGCACCAGACCAGCCCCGTAGCTCACAGCTCGGTTCTTCTGCACTGCAGTCTACCAAAATCCTGGACGTTTTTGAAATTCCCTCTGGACATTTTTTTTTCTAGGTATGAAAAGTAGGACATGAAAATTGCTGCATATCAACAATTTGATGTTTCAGTGAGTGAGTGCTTGTTGCTATGATACGTCTTTGCTCAGTAGCCTCGCTCGTTGTAAACCAACCAATCAGCGCACAGCTCATCTAAATATTGATGATCATACCATAAAATGATGAAAAACCTTTGGTTTCATTTTGGGGCTTTTAGTCAGGCTTGCATTAGGGCTCTTAGAACAGATGAAGATTGAAGATATAGAATTGTGCAGAGGTAAATCCCACTTTTTTGATCTAATATGCTCTCCCTGTATCATATGAAATAATACATTAAAGTGATGGTAAATAAATGTATAGTATTTACATGAGCACTGGAACTATAAGAGGAACTGACACTGAGCTTTTAAAATATTAACTTCACTATACAAGTTATACATCTGGGCTGTAGTTACTCTGTGTAGTGCATTTCATGCATTTTATTTAGAACTTAAAACATTTAATCATATTAATCGATTATTTAAATAACCGTCAACTAATTTAGTAATTGATTAATCTTTAACTGGAGTATAGGGCCACTAAAATGTGCCTTTAGCTGACAGAGCAACCCACTTAGAGCAAGAATGATACCAAGATTGTAAAAAATATGTAAACATTTTGCATTTAGAATTAAAAAAAAAGTTTTTTCTGTCAATATTCTCCATCAAGAAGTCCTCAAGAGGAAACGTTTCTGTTTCACCTGGTTTCATTTTGTAAAAGATCTTCTTTAAGGAGCCTTTGGCTTTCCGATCATTAATCAATTCATCGAAAAAATAATCGGCAGATTAATCAATTTGAAAAATAATCATTAGTTGCAGCCCTTATTTTATGGTAACTTTCCCAAACACATTTCTTCCATAATACAGCACTGAAGGGCAGCTGCTTCACCCTGAGGCTGTTTCTATTATACACGTCTGTTTTTAATTGTAAAGGATTAAATGTAGCACAACCTTTTATCATCATCCTATATTGCTTACTGTCTGACTGTTTAAATAGCTCCTTATGTCTATTTTCTTTTTTAGTGGCATCATCTACAAACACAACACTAAGAATGAGCCTAAGTTTAATCAAATATAAAATCACTTTTAACAATTATAAAAGTCAATATAACACTATCTTATCTGTAATGTAATCATATCCAAAATAAACAGCCAGATTCAAGCATTATTTATCAGACATTAATGTTTGTACTAATTTACTTATGGACCGTGAAGAAAAATATAATCATTGTAAATAGAGTTCCTCTGTTTGTCTTTATCCTATTTCTAGAGGTAGAAGTCAATTAAATAGAACTATTTTTATCTGGAAAACAGAAAATAGCAGATCTTTAGCATCCTTCTCGTGTTATGTTCTACAAAAGAAATAACAGCTGTTATTTATACCTGAACTGGCGTCATAAATGAAAACAGTAATAGCAAAAAACTATTGGTGAAAGGGAATCAGAAATGTTGATAGTTTACACTCTTTCTTCATTTTAACAGCAGTTTCCTGAACTCCTGTCTGACTCAGAATACTTAGTTTTAGAAAAGAAATCCTAATGTTGGTTACTTACATTTCTCAAGTTCCACAAATCAAAACTCTCTCCTTTTTCTTTACAGAACTGCAATCAGAAGCTTTCGCCTGTTTTAGCGTAGATAATATTTAGTTTTTCATTGGGACTAGTTTTGTAGCCTAATATTAATATTGGTAAACGGCATACAGTATTCTAGCGTCATGTTTTATTTATTTATATTTTTCGCGCTCCAAGCACGTGCACGTACACATACGGACTAGAAAACAGGCAATTAGAAATAGAGGAGGAGGAATTTAAGGCAGAAAAATCAGAGTGGAGTTAAACAGCGCAGCACAGTTCCATGCGCTGCTACATGAAATATACAGGAAAGAGCAGGCAGCTGCAGCTACCAGGCAGAGGAGCTGCAAGAGGAAAAGAAGCCACTGCTGCAACCACCCTGGATTTTAAATTATAAACATGTTGTTCACATCCAATTGTTGGTAGGAACAAGTAGGTCGGTCCAAAATTTTGGTAGGGACATGTCCCTATGGTCCCAATGTAAACCTACGCCCATGTGTGTTGTTGAAACCAGGCCAACCAAAACTCAAGTTTTCTTCGGGAACAGTGTTAGAGCTATGGTCACTGGATATTAGAGTGAAGTAGATCATCTATAGAGGAGTCTCAGATGAAGATTTAGGACATATATAAGTGTGTGTCAGTCTCAGAGTTGGAATTAATATTTCTGTTTCTGCTTTTAAAGATTTTTCAAAGTATAATTTTCCTTTGAACTAATTCTAATAGTTTTGTTCTTGATTCTGTAGATGTTTTATTTACCTGCTATGATAGAAAATAACTATTGCCTTATACAACTGATTTTTTGTATTATCTTCTGCTGTGGATGTGTTAAATTATTGTAATAACTTCTAAATTGATGAACGAGCAGCAATAAAAACCTCATGGATTTTACCAATTTACTTCTTTATATGGTTTCATATAAATTACAATCTTTTTCCATGTTGTCTCTGATATTTTCATGCGAACTAAAGCTCTAAAATAAATAGTTTAATGGCATTCACCTTCTGTCTTCTCCAGTCTTTCCTGTTGCTCCTCAGTCAGCATTAATCTTGTTTGCTTTTTAGATCCTGAGTGTGTTCAAATCTGGCCATTGGATAAATCCTCCTTTGCTTGTTGGAGAACTTAGATTAGGAAATAATGTAGGTACGTATTCTGGCCCAGTTGGTTTGGCACCTGATAAAACAAGTGTTTCAGTTGCTATAACTGTGTGTCCAGAGCCGCTACAACCAAGCAACTAGAGGAATGAAGGATCTAACTATGGCTGTGTTCACAATGCAGCCTGAAGGGACCCAAATGCAATGTTTTTAATGATTAAAAATCATTACAAAATGCTGAAACAAGTGCAGCTTCACAGACGAACTCCAGTAAACATTTGGAGTCCAGTGGGAGGCTGAGTGCACCGTGTGCAAAGCTGAATCATTAGTTTCAGTGTCTAATAAAGGTGCTGGAGATCTCAAAGCTCACATGGACACTGAAAAACCTGAAAAGGCTCTGAGAGGTGAGAGTTATTCTGCAAAGCTGACTGAGTACTTTGTTAGACCTGTGAATATTTGTTGAAACTGTGTTTTCTAATACAGAAGAGGTCATATCTAGAACCTGATTTTATTTATTTTTAAAAGAGAGCTATAATTTTGTTACTGGTTGTTACAGATTTCGTTTTACTACAAAGGTTATTTTGGTGCCATTTAGGCATAATAAAGCTGTTCATTAACCTTTGAGAAGCCTCTTTATGGAAATCAAAATATGCTCACCCTAATATATATACCTATTCTAAAAGAATTTGTTCTATAGTTCCCATTTAAAAAACAAAACAAAAAAACCTGATGTTTGCAGGAGCTGTTATGAACTAGACTACAGCAGCAGTTTTATGGATCATATTACTTCATGTTTTTGAACTATATTAAGGAGATTCACTGAGCCTCCTGATGTGTTTTTAGGCACAAGACACTACGATTTGGAGATAAAGACTCTTTATCTACATACAAATAATCAAGTACATTCTATGTTGGACCTCCTCTGCCATAAAACACAACCATATTTACATAAAATGATTAGATTTAAAAATAATTAAATCTTGTTTAAGTGAAACTTGGGTTTAACTGCCATGTCCCCTTTTCTTTGTTCTTCTGAAATCTATTATAATCAAAAATCTCATTTACCATTTCAAAGGTTACTGATAAATAGTACAGTTTTTGTAGTTTAAAGTACTTTAATGCTGAAAGTAATAAAAAAGCCAAATTGAATCAGCAGAGCTATCTAGAAGAGGGTCCAATGGATCTCATCAGAAAGAACCAGAACAACGTGCAGACAGCAGTGAGTGGGCGGAGCAAAGATACCTGGACAGGTGAGGAACAGTTTGGACAACATCCTGAGGATCATGAAATGCTGACTGAGACGGCATCTCCTCCCATCAGTAACGATCAGAACCAGGATAGATCACATCTAAAGGTTTGCTGTTTATCAAATAATTTTTCATCAGAACATCTT